AAATTTTGCCGGCCTGGCTCCCATAACACTTAACCGCCCCGAAGGCTGCCCCAGATTTCACCAGCAGCATCTTGCCTGCCTTCCGACCTCTTTGACCCTGGATCAAACCCGGGCGTTGCGGTGCAAAGAAGTCGGGCTTGTCGCGGTGACGCGTGCCTGGTCTTCAATGCTAGAACAGATTTGCGACCGGCCGCCGTGTGTATCTGGCCCTCGCCTTGAGCCGGCTGACCTGCTCCGACTGACCCGGGATCTTGTTTTCATGCGTTTCGGCGAACACATACCGAACCCGGCGGAACAGCCGAGGCTCGGCAAACAAGGCCTCCAGAAGCGCGACTTCCGCACCTTCAATATCGATCTTCAGAACACCAATGTCTTCGTCGATTTCACGCAGGAAGCGCAGGAAATCGATCTCACGCACTTCATATGCTTCTTCTGACGTTACATTGCTTTTTGAAACGAAGACGGAACTGAATTGCGAGTTGATGAGCGGATCGTCACTGAAATCCTTGTGCCTGTAGAGGGTTATGTGCCCGTCTTCAATGCCGGCAGCGGCATGTATGATCTCCACATTCTCATGCTTGCCAACCCGTTCGACAAGCTGCTGATGAGCCCATGGATCGGGTTCGAACGCGAAAACCTTTCCGGCTCTGGCCGCCATCATTTCGCTGTATTCACCGACATTCGCACCCAGATCGATGAATGTCATGCCCTCGCATTCTTCAATCGCGCGGCGCATCGCACCCATGGCGGTCAATGCCGAATATCTGTCGAAATAATTCTGACCGAATCGCCCGGGGATCCATGCCAACAACCGGAACCTGAGCAGTCGTGCTTTCGAAATTTTCTTCCGCGCAGCCATCAAACCCCCACAGTTCGAATCGCTCACCGTTCTTTGCGAATTTCAGTCTTTTGCGCAAGTACGCTGCCGCCTGTGTGCACAGACAACAAACATCTGGACAGGTATGCCCCTGTTTCACCGCGGCGCTGTGCCTTGCCGGCAGGCAGGCTGAAGACAGCGATCGCCCAAATGTCAGGCCGCCTTTTCCTTCTTGTTCTGGAACTGCAATTCGCAAAGCCTGCGGTAGATGCCATCGTGATCGAACAGCTCATCATGTGTACCGCTTTCCATGACCTGACCTTCATCCATCACGTGGATCATGTCGGCGTGTCTCACGGTGCTCAAACGGTGCGCGATCACCAGCGTGGGCTTACCCCGGGTGAGCCACTCGACAGCGCTTTGGATCTTGGCTTCCGATTCTGAATCAAGCGCGGATGTTGCTTCGTCCAGCAGCAGGATCGGGGCGTTTCGGAGCATGGCTCGCGCGATGGCAATCCTCTGCGCTGGCCGCCCGACAGCTTGTTTCCGCCCTGCCCGACGCTCGAGTCGTATCCCTTGGGCATGTTCATGATGAAGTCATGCGCATTGGCCGCCTTTGCCGCTGCCTCGATTTCTTCCTGCGTTGCCCCCGGTTTGCCGACAGCTATGTTCTCGCGGACGCTGAGTTCAAAGAGAAACGGGTCCTGTCCCACATAGGCAATGGATTGCCGCACTGAATCAAGATTGCACGACGGCAACGTCTGGTTATCGATCAGGACGTCTCCAGTGTCGGGATCATAAAACCTTTCGATGAGCGAAAACACGGTCGATTTACCGGCGCCCGACGCACCCACAAGTGCCGTCATCGTGCGAGACTCGGCAACAAAGTTGGTGCCCTTGAGCGCCGGCGTCCCCGCATAGGAAAAGACAATGTCCCGAAACTCGATCTTGCCGCCGGAGACACTCAGGTCAGGCGCGTTCTCGATCTCTTTCATGCCCGGCTCACGATCGACCAGCTCGTACATCATGCGAAGACCGACCACGTTCTTGCCGAGATTGACATTCGGGCGCGCCAGACGCTTGGCCGGATCGTATGCCAAAAGCAAGGCTGTAATGAACGAAAACAGGGCACCGGGATCCTGGCCGAGTTCGATAACCGAAAACCCGCCGTAGAACATGACACCCGCGATCGCGAAGCCACCCAGAGTATCCATCAACGGCGCCGTTCTGGCCGACAGGGACGCAATCTTGTTCGACTGCCTCTGAACCACGACAATACCCACTTCCATCCGGTTCCTCATGAACGGTTCGAGACTGAAAGCCTTCACGGTCCTTATCCCGAGCACCGTATCCTTTTCTGCCGCACCGATTTTGACGCTCGAGACGACCTTCCGTTTCACATATTGTTTGGTTCGCTTCACCAGAAAGGTCACGCCGAGGATCGCCGGCGGCATGATCAAAAAGGCGAAAACGCTTAAAAACGGGTTCTGAAAAACCATCACGAAAACCAGTCCGACAAGCGTCAGAACATCGCGGCCGAGCGAGACGATGATCAGGTCGAGCGTCGCTTTCGCCGCCCCGACGCCCTGTCCGATCGGGACCCCGATTTCAGAGATCGTGTTCTGGTCGAAGTAGGTCTGATCCTGGCGGATCATGCGCGCGAACATGCGCCGCCTGAGATCCGAAACGATTTCATTGCCGACCCTGGAAAGCACGACCAGCTGACCGTAGATCGCTGCACCCTTGACGGCAAAAATAACAAAAACACCGTCGCGATGACATAAACCATGGTCGCGTCCTTGTTGACGAAGACCTCGTTGACCACGTCATGCATGATCCAGGCACTTGCAGCCGTGGTCGCGGCTATCATGGCCATGAACACGAACGCGAGGCCGTATTTTGGCAGGTAGTTCCTGTAATTCTCACTGAGCAGCCTCCAGACCAGCCGCACCGTTCCATCAGGATCGTTGAGTGTTTTCGAATTAAGCGGATTACGCACGAAGCGGTTCCTTTCTGAAGCCATCAACAGACGGCCAACATGCGAAGACCTGCCGTGCAGGCCTCTCAACCATTGGCAGACAATTTACCTGTGTTTCTGCAAGGGGCCTCTGTTGTGATCTGCAAAGGCTCAGGTGCACAGGCGTATCGGGCAAATGCTCAAGCGTCGATCGCGGAGACCAAACAGTCCCAAACGGCTCAAAGTTCGATTTGAGCAAGACGACCTCAAGATCGGGCACCTGTCTCCGATGTCTTCCAGCAAAGAACTGCCAGTATCAACTCTGAGCTCACGTCCAACCACGACTGTGTTGCCCAAGCGCACATACTGAATACTGAATAGCCCCGCGTTTTCTAGACGCCCTCGGCTTTCATTTTCTGCTGCCGTTCGAACTCTATGGGCGACAGCATCCCGTTTCTGACGTGTTTGCGCCTTGGGTTGTAGAACATCTCGATGTAGTCGAACACATCCCGCCTCGCGTCTTCGCGGGTTTTGTAGGTTCGTCGCCGCACCCTTTCCCGTTTGAGCAGGTTGAAGAAGCTTTCGGCAACAGCGTTGTCGTGACAGTTCCCGCGCCGGCTCATTGAGTGTTCCAGATTGTAAGCACTAAGGAATGATGCCCAATCCATGCTCGTGAACTGCGATCCCTGATCCGAATGGATCAGACCCCTGTTCTTCGGCTTCCTCCGCCATACCGCCATCAGCAGCGCCTGCAACACGACATCTGTGGTCTGACGGCTCTGCATCGACCCATTGCCCGGCAGGCGTTGCTTGCAACGCCGAGAGGAGGCCCACAACACGGCGAGAAAAGAGGTCGATCACGACAGCAAGATAGGCAAAGCCTTCCAGTGTCCTGATGTAGGTTCTTTAATTGATCATCCGCGCTCGTTGATATTGTCGCGTGTACCGGCCACCTGCAAGGTTCTTTTCGAAGTCATCCCAATTAGCGCTTCATCTCGGCATCCAAGGCGTCGACGTCCCTAAGGTGATATTCGCGATGCATTGAGCTCGCATGTACATCTCACGGGGTTTGTCGATTGCCTGCCGCTGTGATCGGTACGGCAACTTTGAGCGAGCGCGTTTATCGTTGCTCGCGGATTTTTTACTCAGGCCTCCTGTGCTTCAAATTCGGTTCCGTCTTTCCAGATCGCATGCATTATGACGGCAAGCTTTCTGGCTAAGGCGACGACAGCTTTCTTGTGGCTTGTTCGTTTCTTCAGAGCCATTGCCCAGTCCTTGAGGTGTTGGCCGGGGCCTGTTTTCACGCGGCACAACAGGCTATTGGCCGCCTCATACAGAACTGTGCGCAACATGCGGTCACCCCGCTTTGATATGCGGCCGCCAAAATCAATGTCACCAGATTGGTAACGCCTGGACGTCAGGCCGATGTAAGCCCCAACAGATCTTGACCGCTTGAAACGATCCGGTGTGTCGATCGTCGCCACGAACGTTACCGCACTGACAGCTCCGACGCCTGGGATTGTCATCAGCCTGCGGCAAGCTTCATCATCGCGCGAATGGCGGGACCTCTCCTTGGTCAAGATTGCGGCCTGTCGAAGCGCTTCTGTGCGCAACTTCAAGAGCGGTTCAACGATGCCTGCCAAGACAGCTTGTTCCTCAAGAACTTTGTGTACGCGCTGTTCATAGGTCTTCAAATGCTTAGGCAATCGAATGCCAAAGCTGGCCAACAAACCACGTATCGTATTCTCGGAGTTCATGCGCATTTTGATCGCAACCTCCCGAGCACGCAAAAGGGCGCGACGTTCTTGGGCTAAGCGGCTCTTGACCTCGATTTTCTTGTAAAAGCCTGTTCGCGCTAGCTCCGACAACATGGCAGCGTCGTTCTCATCGGTCTTGTTGTGCATTTGGCTCAGGACGGCATGGGCTTGACGCGCATCGATACAAACCATTGGTAGGCCTCGATGGCTGAGCTCATCAAACAACCAATTCGCCATCCGACCGGTCTCAAGAACCACACAAACGATATGTGCTAGATAATTACTCAAAGTACGCGCTAGGATATCCGGGTCGGTAGGTTTCTTGAAAGATGTCACAACCTCGCCGCGATCATCTCGCACGCAAACCGCCGTTTCATCCTTAGATACGTCAAGGCCAACAAAATAACGTTCCATCACAGCTCTCCTTTTTCTGATGCAGCAACTATGCACTGCCAAAGAGCGCGGATGATCAATTACTCAGAGTGATGTCTGTCACCCAGACCCTGTCGGGTTGCTCCACATCGAACTGTCGGTCGAGGCTATTGTCGATGACCATGGAAGGTTTACCGCCATAGCTGCCCGGTCGCCGCCGGTATCCGATCTGGGCCTTGATCCCGGCCAGCCGGGCAAGACGCGCGACACGGTTCAGGCAGCACGACTCTCCCTGATCAAGCAGATCGTCATGAAGCTTGCGATATCCATAGACCTTACCGCTCTCCTCCCAGGCCTTGCACAGCAGTCCGGTCTGGCGGATGTCTTCCTGGGCTCGCTTGCTCAGCGGGTTCTTCGGCCAGGCGTAAAAGCCGCTTGGATGGATGCGCAGACAGCGGCACATCGCTCGCACCGAAAACACAGAGCGATTTTCATCGATGAACGCGTACCTCACTTTGCATCCTTGGCGAAGTACGCGGTTGCCTTTTTTAGGATGTCACGCTCCTCAGTGACTCGAGCCAGTTCCTGCTTCAGCCGACGGATCTCCACAGCTTGATCGCCTTCGCCTGGATCGGGTGACTTGGAGAACTTCTTCTTCCAGGCGTAGAGAGAATGCGTGCTGACACCAAGACGCTTCGAAACCTACGCAACCGGATAGCCACGCTCGGTGATCTGCGCCACCGCGTCCCGCTTGAAGTCGTCACTGAAATTGCTCGTGCCCATCATGGCCTCCTCGCCTCAAAATTAGGGAAGAAGGCGTCTAAGAATCTAGGGGCTTCTGTGGTTGCCGCTCTGAATGCAAGAAGTTTCTGATCCTTGGGTGTGATCGAGTGCGGTCTTCTGTCAGGCCTTCCAATTGCGGCACTTAGGAAGCCGCTGGCCGATATGGTGATCAGCGGATCAGATCCAAATCTATTCAGCGAGCTGATTGCTCCAAGCCCCTATCTGGTTATCCTGATCCAGATCTGTTCGATCATTTTACCCATATGGATCGTCGACGTTCTCACACCTCCATCACCGGCATTAGACTGCCCCGAGCCGCACCTCTGTCATGCAGCAGCAGCCTACGCCGGATTCTGATAATCTTGTCCTTTCGTCAACATGGCCCAAATCGTTCGTGCCATCTTGTTTGCCAACGCGATGGCCACCAGCATTCTCGGCTTCCTGGCCAGCATTCGCGACAGCCAAGACTTCTCCGATATCGACTTTCGCCCCAGCCAATTCAGACGAGACATCGCGCCCACTATCAGGAGCCGCCTGATGTCGGCCTGCCCCGCCTTCGATATACGGCCAAGCCGCTCTTTGCCTCCAGACGAATGTTGCCGTGGAACCAGACCCAACCATGCCGCGAAATCTCGCCCGCGCCGAAAACTCTCCATCGGCGGTGCAAAAGCCTCAACGGCCAACGCACTCATTGGTCCTATGCCTGGCATTGTTTGCAAGCGGCGCGCCGTATCGGTTTGAGTTGCCAGAGCACCGATCTGTTTGGTCTTGCTCTCAATTCGTTGCGTTTTCTCTGAGATCTGCAACAGAATATCGCGACACTCGTCGCCAACTAATTCGGGCAAATCGCTGTTCTCAGCTTCGATGATCGCCACGATCCGCTTCAGATGCCCAATACCCGGTGGTGGTGGATGGCCAAACTCATAAAGGACTGAACGCAAAGCATTCACCAGCTCTGTGCGCTGACGCACAAGCCGCTCTCTTGCTCGAAAAAGAAATGCCTGTGCTTGCTGAGTTTCGGCCTTTGGGCTGATAAAACGCATCTCAGGTCGTTGAGCGGCGATGACTATCGCTTCGGCATCCGCGGCATCGTTCTTCTGCCGCTTCACGAAAGGGCGCACGTACTGGGGAGCGATCAGTCTTACATCGTGACCTAGCTTGCTCATCTCGCGCGCCCAGTAATGAGCACTGCCGCAGGCCTCCATCACGACCGTCGCCGGAAGCTGTTCAGCCATGAACCTGCGAAATTGCTGCCGCGTCAGCTTCCGCCGGAACTTGATCTGTCCGGCCATGGAAGCTCCGTGGACCTGAAAAACTTTCTTGGACAGATCAATCCCGATCATCGTCTCTTTTGTCATGCTCGCCTTCCTCTCCACCCATTAGACCTAACCCGGCGATCCTCCAATAGAATGCGTCGGGTGGGTAGAGCGGCAACCACTCCATCTATTCACGCGCAAAAGTTCGCTTCGCGAAAACTTTTTTTCCGACTTTTTGGAAACTGACTTTCGCACCGCGACGCGAGAGGTTAAGTCTCGGTGAACGCTGATATGGCTTTGATCTCGGAAATTCGGTTTTGTATTCAAGAGATAGGCGCAGCGGCACGCTAAATATTGGAAACATCTTTTCTTCAAAATCTTGAAGAATTGGACACTCAAAACGAAAGGCCACAGTTTTGTGTGGAATTCTCGGTGCGGTGGGGAAATCTCCTCCTAGACCTCTTAGCAAACCCAATATCCTTGAAGCACGGGATCTGATGAGAACCCGTGGTCCGGACTCGGAAGGGTTTTTAGAACTCACCGACGGGCGAGGTGGGAATTGCTACCTGGCACATCGGCGGCTCGCTATTCAAGACCTAAGCGAAAACGGTTCTCAACCAATGCGGTCGGCAGACGGCCGCTACACCATAGTTTACAATGGTGAAGTCTATAATGCACAATCGCTTCGGAAACAACTCGAGCAACTGGGCACACGCTTTAAATCGACTTCTGACACGGAAGTCATTCTCGAAGGATATTCATGCTGGGGCGCTGAGGTTGTGCAACGCCTTAACGGTATTTTCGCCTTTGCAATTTGGGACCAGTACGAGAACCGATTTTTTCTCGCTCGAGACAGGTTGGGTGTCAAACCCCTATATCTTTCTGAATCACCTGGTTTTTTCGCTTTCGCTTCCGACTTGCGCGCCTTGCGCCACTTGGGCCTCGGCAGCGAAATAGATACCCAAGCTCTTTGTCTCTATCTCGCACTAGGGTACATACCCGCGCCACGATCAATCTGGGCAGGCATCACGAAACTAGAGGCAGGACAGTTCCTTTCTTGGCGCGCGGGAGAGGAGTCCGTTGTCACTCAATATTGGGAGGCACCGGATGATACTGACTTTGAGGGCAAGCCCGAAGCGATTGAAGACTTAATCGACAACGTGGTAGAGGAACAGCTACTGTCCGACGTTCCAGTTGGCTTGTTTTTGTCAGGGGGGCTAGATTCGAGCCTTCTCGCTTCATCCCTCGTCGCACGAGGAAGAGCTAACGATAACCTTGTCGCAATTACTGCTGCATTTCCCGGCAACGACCGCGGCGACGAAGCTCCAATTGCAAAACGCACCGCTAAACAACTTGGGATTCATCTTGAATGTTTGCCATTTTCAAGCGATGTGGACCCATATTTTGATGCTGCGGTTGCCGCAATGGATGAGCCGATCGCATTCAACGCGATTGTAACGCAAGCTGGGGTTTCGCAACTTGCAAGCGAAGCAGGCCTAAACGTCGTACTTACTGGTGATGGGGGCGACGAGGTTTTTGGCGGATACACGTGGCACTATCCAAGTGCGCGGAAACCACCAAGCTTGTTCGACCTGAGTTTCGGCAATTTCTTTGACCTTAGGATGGTCAAACGAAAGATCAGCGAGCTGAAGGCGGCTAGATTTGAAGCTAAATCTGAATATTTTTCTTATATGCGCAGTGTTTTTTCAGCACTACGACCAGATGAAATTTCTGGAATACAAACTGGAGCTCGAGCCGCTCAAATAGAAGAATTACTTTTGGAAGTGTTTGAAAGACACAATGCAGCACGATTGCCTGATAAACGACGATGGCAACGCATTGATCTCTACACATTCTGTCAGGACGTTGTCTTACCGAAAGTCGATAGAACGGGAATGGCATACAGCATAGAAGCCCGCCCGCCGCTCTTAGACCATAGAATCGTCGAATGGGGATTATCGCGTCCTTTGAGTGATCCATTCGACGCTTTTCCAAAGAACGCCGTTCGACAAATTCTAAAGAAACGTGGTCTTGGGTTTCTTCTGAATGAACCCAAAAGAGGTTTTAGCCTGAAAAGTCGAGGAGGCCCGAACATAGACAAGCGAGAGTTCATCACGCAAAACGTTTCGAAGGTTGGTCTTACCAAAAAATGGAAACCAAGCGTCAGTCGAAAGTCTGAAGCGCGCGGCCACAAAATAGAGACACTATATTGGTTATCGCGCTGGCATGCAGCACACGTCGACGACAGCAAAACGATCTCCAACGAGATATAGACCTAGCACAGTATCCTCTAATCCTCCGCTTGTTCACATGTGCATGACCGCACTTAACTAAGTATTATTTCCATGAACGTAGACTTACTAAAATTCGATGATTTGCGCGTCGTATCTCATAAATATTTAGGAGATAATTTATTTACTTTGTTTGCAATATTGCGAAACGAAATGTATTTCTTGCCCGCGTTCCTTAAGCATTATCGCAAACTGGGCGTGGAAAGGTTCGTATTTCTTGACGATTGCTCTGATGATGGGTCTAGAGAGTATATTCTTTCCCAACCCGATGTTGTGGTTGTGGAAAGCAATCATAAATACGGAGACAATATTGAACTGCCTGAAATTATTGGTGAAAAATTGATTCTCCCAAGGATTCTCTATATTTGGCGAGCGCTGTTACATGAAAAATTCGCAAAAGATAGATGGGCATTGCAAGTCGATCTCGACGAATTTATTCATCTACCCAAGAATACCAAATTCCAGGACCTGCTCCCAGAGCTCGAAATTGGAGACGCAAGAGTTGTGTGGGGAGTCATGCTGGATATGTATCCACAACGTTTGTCGGATCTAGTTGCTGGCAAAGCTAACTCACGGATTGACCTCAATGCCGATTGGTATTTTGATGGCGAAGAACACCTAGAGTTTCGGAATAATGGCACTCCAACGATGATACATCCGGGTGCCCGCGCTCGACTTTACCAAAAGTATGGTGTTTCCAAGCACTTCCATGATTTTGGTTTGGGTCCGAAACTTAGTTTCTTTTCCAGAATGAAAAAAACACGTTTCGGTCATAGGATTCTAGCCTACAATCAACTGCAAAAGCCTGTGTTGACCAAGTGGCAACAAGGCGGCTTATACTTCAGTTCACATAAAATAAGCTTCCCAGCCTCCGACCGCTTCTTGCTTCCTTTGCAACACTTTCGCTTCACTGGATCGATATATGTCCGGCTTGAGAGGGCATTGAGAGAAAAATCCTACAGCGGAGGTTCTCGTGACTACGTTTTCATGGCAAAACTTATGGAGAACATGAAGCGAATGGGCGGCTCATTCCTTTATCAAAGATCGCGTAGATTCAACAGTTTCAGCGATTTAGTTGAAACCCTGAACGCTAAAGGCTTCTAACTGCTAAATCGCTCAAGCGAACGAGATAACAGTAAGTGAAGGAATGATTTGACCGACGTAGCTGAAGACCACACAAAGGAACAATCGAGCCTGTACAGCGAATTACTCGTTGTAGCAACTAGCGTTTTTCTTTTTGTACTTGTTGAGAAATTGATTGACCGCTCAAACGATGTCGGTGGATGGGCCAACATAGCGCTTGTTGGTTTTTCCGCGGGAATTTGTCTTGCATTGACGGGCCCAAAAGCGAGCGAAGTTTCGCAGCCAACGAATATCATTATTCGTGTAATCGCAATTATGCTGGGCATATATGTGCTGGTCTCGCCGCTGTCTTTCCCAAGTGGAGAATCTGCTTACGCGGACAGTTTGTTGATAGCAAGCAGGGTTGCCGCATTCGTGAGCGTAACTTTCAGCTTTTTTTCAATCCGATATCCGACCTTCGTCATCGTTCCTTGCGTAAGCGTTTTAGCAAGCAAGGCAATTGGTACGGATCTGTTCGATATCGGCATTTCGCCAACAGATTACATCCCTATAGTCGAGATTGGTCTTTTTTTGGGGGTTGGGCTTTGCTTGCTAACGCCTCAGCGCACCCGGCTGCAATTCAAATTCGGTAGATTTTTTGCCATGGCGGATGCATCAAAAAC